AAAAAACGATAACAAAATAACGCTAAAAACCGATAAAAACCCTGAAAACCATACATTTCACACCCGAGTCTCACTCTCGCGGCCCGGTACCAAATGACTCCGGTCCGTGGCCCGGGGGGTTGGGGACCGCTGGATTAAACAGTTTGACAATACAGTCTAAACATGTAATTGGTTCCGCTTGTTTGGCTGTTGGTTAGCAATCTAGCATCCACAGTTTTAAAGACATCATGTTCAGATTTAGTGTGATGGTAGATACCATAACAGCCCGAGATGATTTCATTTTGGTGAAACTCGGGTTATGGTCACGCTCTTCGGGGAGAGTTGTGCTCTGTGAGTGCTCTTGTTTCCCTTATCAATTAAGCCACCAATATTTTAATGAAGCTTGTGAAACAAAACAGTTTTTCACACGTCTTGCCATTTTTTTCCCCATCTCACAAACCCAAAACCCTCAAATTAATCCAGTTACAACAGCGGTCCCCAACCGCTGGGCCACGGACTGGGCCGCGACCCAGTCCGTGAGTTGTTTGGTACCGGGCCACGAGAGTTGAGGTTCGGGTGTGAAATTTATGGTTTTCAGTGTTTTTATTGTTTTTAGCATTAACTTGGTTTCCCTGGGTCTTTTCCCATGTGTTATGAATAAATCGTATTTTTTTCTGGTACCGGTACTGGTTTTATTTTGTTGTATTTATCCACAACACCTTAAAGGCCGGTCCGTGAAAATATTGTTGGAAATAAACAATCCGTAGTGCAAAAAAGGTTGGGGACTGCTAAGTTACAATGAAGAACATAGTCATAATGTATACTAGATGGGCTCATGCTCGAAGTGACTCATCTACCACACCCCATATAATCCATTTTCTTAACAACTTATCTGATTTCGGGTCATAAGGGGGCTGAAGCCTATCCCCAACCTGCACAGGTTGCCGGTCTATCACAGGGCTAAGGCAGAGATAGAGACCACATAACCTAACAAGCCTGCCTTTAGACTGTTGGTGAAAGCCAGAGTACGAATAGAGAAGATCCAAGCTCCACAATGAACACCCGCAGACGACCAGCGGTCTAACCCAGAACCTTAATGTGAGGCAAACACTAATGCCGTGCAGCCTCTTGTACAGTGTTTGCGTATTCTCCCCTGTCTGCATGGGTTCTGTCTGGGTACTCTGGCTTCCCCCTACAGTCCAAAGACATGTAGGAGTGAATGGTTGTCGGTCTGTCTGTCTTAGCTCTGCAACAAACTGACGAGCAGTTTTACAACCGGATGATACATTTGCATGGCAGTTTAAGAGATCATCTACTAGCCAAGACTTCATCGGTTGGGTCACTGAGATAGCACTTACAGAGCAGTGAAAGCCTACACCCACTACTGATGCTGATCCTGGACAAATATGTGCATTTTTGCTGGTGTGTATTTGTCTCAGAGGGTTCTGTGGAGGAAGAAAAGTCTTGATTTCACCATATAATGTGGCCATAGAGGGTTTTTTTTAATGCATCCCATCAGTGAGGCTAGCTGAATGTCTCTCTATGGAGTTCTTTCATAGAACAGTAAGAATCTGGTAGGCAGGCAGGGGAGTCTAATAAAGAAGCACAAACACACACACACTGACTCACAGTGCTGTATAAAGTTATTTCTCCTTTGGGATTGTTTCATACTACAGTAAGATACTGAGAAGCACTGCGGACCCATTAACCACACACACACACACACACACACACACACTGCATATGTTGGCTATTGGAGGCTGTGTAATACAAGAAAAACATGTAGACACATATTTGCCGTATACCTTAATGAAAGTCTTGCGAATACTTTCAGTGGTCTGTGTTTCTGTTCGTATTTTATCCCATAATTCCTCCGCCATTTCTCTTATAATAGAACTTAAAGAAAAGGAAACAACTCGTGTTATTTCTCTCCTAATGTCTTCCTCATATCGCCGTCATTCCTTCCATTCTTCGTGTCTGTTTCTCATTCGTCTTGTATTTGATCCGCAGAGCTCCACTGCAGGTCTGGAAAGTGTGGACAGTGATTTATTTTTAAGCTTTCTGACAGAATAGTATGAATTACAAAGTGTGAGAGGACAGCTGTTACACATATGTTAAGTATGTTTGTAGAGCAGTAACGCCAAATTTGGAGAATTTTCTTCAGATATTGCCATATTACACATTAGTCTGGGAGAGATAACGGCCTCACTGCACATCTGCCATCAGCAAATATAACTCAGAGCCAAAGAAAGAGGGCTTGAAATGCCGAATGTGTAGAATCTCTTCAGCCTTTTAACTCCAAATGTTGTCGTTCCTTCTCTTTCCTTCTCGGTCTACCTCTCTTTCTCCTCCAGAGGGAAATGTTCAGTAATGTATTTTGTAATGGACTGTAACCTACTGGCAGGTCCTCCCTGGAAAATACTGTAACTGGAGCCATTTACAAAGCTGATAACCACCATGAATGAGTGTGTGTATGTATGTTTTTCTGTGTCGTAACCTATTTGTGTCTGCGTGTGTATGAGTGTGTTGCGCTGACTTGTGCTACCACACATTTAAAAGTGTATATTTTATGTGTTTGTGTGTGTTAGGGTTAGGTTTAGCTGCTGGTGAGTATTGGCGATTCACTGGAAAAACACAAAATTGCTGAGACTTTTTCTGTCAGTTGTTTGTGCAGCAAATCAGGGAAGACTCAAAATCACAAGTGACAGCTCCTCTGATGTACTGTCACTTTTCATTGTTGCGTCAATGCCACTAAAGAATGGAGTACAATTTTTTTTTTCACAAAATCCCTCCATCCAATCTACTTTTGATGAACTTAACCTCGAAAGGATTCTCAAATGCCAGAGCAATTAAATTATGTTTTTGTCAGTGTTTAAGTGACAACCAAATAAGTATTTTATAGTTAGAAAACATGCTAAAAGTGACTAGGACAAGTAGGCAACAGGTGAGCGACTGCTTAAAGCTGTACTCCAATGCTGACGCAAAGAGGCTCGGTAGCTCAAGCTGGAAAACATGGAGAATTTATTCCTAATATTCTTACTTTTTTTCAAAGTTTGTATTCTCTGTACATTTATTGTACTCTGCTACAACCCAGAATGTGCATTTGGCACAAACTTACAATTTAGACCCAATAGCTGGGTCAGATCAAGGGCACATTCTCACCATAAACAAAGTACTCTGGAGTTCATTTGGAACCAGGCCTCCTCCAAAGGGTCTTGGTGCAGTTGATTTGGTTTGTGCCCAAGTGCGATTATCATGTTTATATCAGCACAGATGAATTGCACCAAGAGGGAAAACAAACCAGAGTTAACGGACTAAACAGGGCAGGGGTTAAAGCAACCTTGGAGGTGAACAACAAAAGGCGGGAAAGGAAACAGATGATCAATTCTACAATCAAAACCAAGATAATCTTAAGTCAGACAATAATGTTGACTACTAGTGGGAGATATAACCAAATGGACAATGTAGCAGATGTACTGCCTGGTACAAGATGAAGCTTTAAATGGGTGGGGGTATAGCAGTTTGAGTATACTCAAGTGTACATTGCTGTAACACCAGGGTAATGGACAACTTTTCAGCAATAAAAAAATGGAACAAGACACAGAGACATGGAGCACAAGTAAAGTCTAGACTTGACTAAGCCTTCATGTTGCAGAGAAAATACAGGTTTTCCTTACAGCTTGCTGCCTGGGGAATCAACAAACAGTAAAGCAACGGCAAAAGAAAATGAAGAAACCAGAACAAGATTACACTGCAATGACACTCGCTGTACCATTACAATTACGGCCTCAGTAAAGTTGTGCATTCCTGCTGCTGCTGCCAACGTGTTTCAAAAGGCACAACTTTTATTTTAAAGATGAATGGTCTCTGCATTCAGTTTGTGTCACACATTTTCAACTTTCATTATCGCTCAACAACTAGTTGGGGAGCGTTTGGAGATAGGTGGGCATCGTCCATGAAAACTAAGGTCGACTTCAACAATTCACAAGTGACCCAAGCAGGCACAAGGAGGTTTTTGG